ATATGTATATAAATATATATGTATATATATATATATATATATATATATATATGTATATATATATATATATGTATACAAAGGTATCAGACATCCAATATCCATCCAACTTGACAGGCAGTAACGTGTGTGTTAGACCTTTTTCAGTTTGTTTAACCTTTAACTTGTCAAAGGCGACTTGCCGTTGCGTATCACAGCGCAAATGCAAAAAAAAAAGGAGCAGTCCTGTTCTCAAAGCGAGGGTGGCGTCCAGCGGTGCATTCAGAAGGTCGCATGGTTCGCATTCTGCGACCAGATAAAAGCCTGAACCGACATTGATAATAGTTATCTAGTTTCTGTGCTTAGATTTAGGCTTTTAAATCGCTTTGCGTTCTCCTGTTGCTCCGTACTGCTGTGTCCAATTCACAATACTGTCAGTTACTAAAAAAATCGTTTTTCATCTGGCATGAAAACATCTGACGTTTTTGCAGCAGAATATGTCCCACATTGAGAGCAGACTTCTCTCAGCCCAAATTCGCAACAGATATTTAGGGCATTCCATTTACGGGCTGACATTTTCCCTAGTAAACGCTAAACCTGGCCATGAAAATTGTCCCCTTAAAGGCTTTCTTTTCCGCAACGGCAACGATGCATGAAACGACCCATATTTGATACACCCATGCAGTGGTTCACGAGAAAATAAATAAAGTCACTTCTTGTTAGGTAACTTCGAGTGCCGTGGCAGGAAGGGAGTGGGGCACTGGGGGACAAACGGTCGTTCATTTATAGGGTATTCAACGATTGCATTTTCATATAGGCTCTGGTCAAGTCCAAAGAAATTGCATGATTAATAACAGCAACTACGGCTTGTTCAAGCAGACGAAAGCTCGTTTTGTGTGAAGCATGTTGTGATCAAAAGTAAGTGGAGGGATCGTACCATGATTTTTCGACCGCAATGTCGTCTGGGCCTATTTCTGCTGCAATATAAAATAGCTTCGGACCGTTGCGAAACAGGAGGGCCCGGGTCGCGATGAAATATGCTATCAATTCGTGCTTAATACAAATAATATTTGCTATGTTACGATAGGGAAATTATTTAACTTACATTTGATTGGAGTGAAACATAAGGCGTAGGTATTTAATTAAATCCCCCTTTTCAAGCTAAACTTATGTGACCAACTTAGATTTTTACCTCTACAAGTGAATATCTGGATAGGCTCAGCTGAAAATAATAAAGGGCGTTAAGCCTTATGTTACTCGAGTGCAAAAACCCAAAAAGTTATTATGTCGAACGTCATTATTTTGCAAACCCAATGAGCTGCAACTTCTTGCCATCATAGAAGGTCGAGTTACTTGAAACTGTGTGCTATCATGCATGTCACCCTCGCTGAAGCAACAACTCCCTTTTGCTGAATTCGCTAATGGTGCGCACGTCTTTATTTTTATAGCGTTCATCCCCGCGCAATACCCGTAGCGTCGCTCGGATTTCGCCCGTGAAGGGACAAATCGGTTCAGCGCGCCTTATCAGCTAAAGGATGCCCAATTCGTCACATTAGCGACCTTTTTAACACCACGAAGAGCAGTTTTAGGGTCGAGGTCATATTTTTACACCTCTGGAGACAGTTTTGTGGTGTTTCAGAAGCCCTCTGGTCATTTTAAACCATCAAAGAGTCCTGGATACATTGCCTCAACGGAGACCCCGCCATCGCTAGAGAGGGGGCGGGGGCATCGCCCCAGAGCTCCTCTTGGCTACGTCACCGCCCAATATGCTGAAAATGTGACATAATTCCATGCCTTTGTTTCTGGTATGATGTGTTCATAATTTTTCTGACAGAGTGACGAGTCACTCCGTTCATTTGTCATATCGCTGATTTTGGTCTGAGATGTTAAACACCCTATTCTACCGTGCAGGAGAACAATGTAAGATTAACCGTTTCCTGCTTACAGATCCTCCTCCTTTAACACGCGCTCGAGTGCAGGGCCAATTTGTCCCCTCGCCTCGCCCCCCCCGCCCCCCACCTCAGACACTACCTTTTTCCGGCGTTGTGTTGGACCGGTGCGGTTCATCTACCCTAAATTTTGCGTGGCCTTACGCAACGGAATAACTAATCTACTGATACAACACAAATAAGGTACGCCTCATGATGTCACTGATCTGTAATTAACTGGTGTCGGTCGCTGGCTTCAGGGTCGCTGACCCGTAGCAGGTCAAAGTTAAATCATGACCATCAGCGAAGGCAACGCCTGGGGAATCTTGCATGCTGATGCGACAGCGGAAGTGTCAGGTGCAGTCATGAACTTGGAGATGGCTTCTTAGATAACTGGCCGGTTGAAATTAGGATTAAGTCCCATTCGATTGACCTCAGCTCAGGAATGAAGGTCATATCAAGGTCGAAACAGAAACGCATTTAATTGGAAAACTTGCTTCATGAGGTAGCTTTTGAATCTTCTTCGGAATTCCTTGTTTGCACAGACGTCAATATGAACTCACCTAGTTTCGAGTCGTTGTTAGATGACGCCCTTGGCCTAAGAAAACCTCGATCAGCTTTTTGTTTTGTGGAACATGCCGATGAGGATAGTTATTGGTGCTGACTGCAAATACCGATATGAAATTGTTAGTGAAGGGTTTTGAGCATTTTAACCTTTGAGATGCAAAATATGGTTGTTAAATTTTGCTTCGAAAAGGTGTTTTTACTGTTTCAATTTGTAATCTTGATTTATGATTTATTTATGATTGTCACATTTTGCTACGAGAAGGCGAAGGTGCGTGAGGAGGTCTGTGAGCACTTCGGACGCCGATTTTGAGTTGAACCTTGTCTGACTTACTTCTTCCAAAAGAGCACGACCTATAGTCTTAAAAGTTTGATACAGCAGAGTTAGAATAGATCCCTACATCTCCTGTGGACTTGGTAACTATGGGCCTCCTACTTTTAGATCTAAGGGACTTACTCTGCCCCCTCCCCCCATCCTGCTCACCTCACTCCACCCGAGCGGTTAGATTCAACCGGCAGCCAGTGCGCGTGTTAAACAGATCCTCTTCATATCAATTGCACTGTACAAATACAAAAAGAGTGCTCAAGGACATGCCATTTGTTCTAGTTAACAAGGACAGAACTCCGGGTTCTTTCAAGAGGCTCAAGAGGCTTTCCTTCAAGAGGCACTTGAAAAATGAACTCTGCTGGGTCAGAATCGCAACTCTCAGTGTCAAAAACGCTTTCCGACAAGACCACCGGTTTTGCGCAAAATCATTTTAACACAAATGTGGTGCAAAACCAAATCAAAGGCATTTTTCCACATTGCCTATACCAACACGTCTCTGCGTCATTCTGTGTGACGTCTCTACGTTGTTGGCAGCCTCGATGAGTCCTAAAATGCAACTAATTTATAGAGGCACGCGATGTATCACCCGGTGCCAGCACGCTCTTCGCACCCTCCCGTCTACAGCTGCGGTGTAGCAGCTGCAGCCTGGTAGCTACAGTCCGGTGCCGTACCGCTCGTACCGCGGTAAGGCCCGCCCGATGCCCGCACGCTTTTCGTACTCTCGCAGTCACAACTACGGTGCAGTGCCCGGTGCCCGCAAGCTCTTCGCACCCTCGCGTCCACAGCTACGATGCAGTGCTCGGTGTCCACGCGCTCTTCGCACCCTCGTGTCTACAGCTTAACAGCGCGATCTCACCCTTTGTGCAAGCAGCAGCCTCACCGTTTGTACAAACGCGAAGCACATGTATGCACACAAACCGTTGTCTTGGTTAACAAATCATGAATCCCTCGCGCCATACGGCTGCTCCCAGGCTCGGGCGATATCGCACAGCTGAGCTCTCGAATGCGATCTGTCAGCGGCGACTTTTTCCCGTGCCTCGGTACCGGTCCCATAGGTTCACTCGCAAGGAGCATCGAGTGTATATGTAGGACAGCACCATTATCCTGGTAGTGCTTTGAAAAAATCATTATTTCGCAGCGGTATCGAGTTGGCCTCACTTGCACCATAACGTACGCTATGCAAATAAATACAAGTGAAGCTGCGACACTTGGGTTTAATTCCGGTTCAGCCTACCTTGCAGAAGCGTTGCAAGCGTCTAGCGCGTTGGTCGCCTCGCCCGTACTGCCTTCCATCGGGCACGGCTGATCTGTACGACGACTCCTTCGCCTGAATGCTGTCAGCAAAGGTAATTTGTCACACACACAACTAGGCGCCACAACGCTGGAAAATCCATCACCAACACGAAGGCGAAATTGAGGCGGGCCGCCTGAGTGCGGGTCGTTCTGCGTCGGCTCAATGCAGCTGGAAGGGTTGAGCAGAGCTGAGGGAACGGACTGATCTGTTCGCGCCGCATTTCTGTCCCAACCTCAGCTGCTGATGCTGGCGAAGCGGCACGAACTGGTAGAACCGGCACATGCTGGGACTGGGCTCGATGCCAGCTTGGCAGGGAGACCGCCACTGTTCCTCTTCTGTCCCTCTGCTGTCGTCGTGGTCGCTGAGCTGTCGATGTCCGCTTATCCTGATGGAGCATATAGAAACAGAAAACCAAAACAGAAGCAGAAACAGACAGAAAGTGACGGCGGGCCTACAACACACAATGTTGCTTGGCAAATTGTTGACCTACCATCCTAAGAATCAGTTTGTGATGCAGAGTATGAGGTAGATGTCTACTTGTACTATTTCATCAGGCCCCTGGCCACCGTAGTGTTGAATTTGGCCTCGCCATGTGGTCATATGCCCCCATATTTGTTACAAACTGGCCATGATCTTTACTTTCACAAAACCCAGGCCTCAAGTGGTTGAAAAACTGAATAAAGCACAAAACCCCACCTACTTCGGAAATTATTTGAAGACCATGCCCATGACTGCTCTCTGTTCATATAAAGGACTTCTCTATCTACAATACACAACCAGAAACTACAAATGACCATTTGTAAAAATACAGTGTGCTAAATACATCGTTAATTACACCTTTCTGGGGAGATTCGATTGTCGGGTCCCCGGCTCCGGCCCACAACCATTTGTATACATCGGCGCCTCTAGGATGTGGTGCAGGTGAGAGCCATTGAAATAATTCAGTTACGTCGGTGACAGGTCACGCCTGCTGGGGGTCATCAGCGCCATGCCAAGTCTTCCTGGGGGGAGCATACATGCTTCCAGCAATGGCTTTGATCTAGACGAGTTTTGCGGTGATGAAAGCCAGATAGCCAGATCTATGAAGCTTAATGCCAGTCAATAGATGTCTATAACACGATTTGTAAATTCCGGGAATATTAATATGACCAAGAGAAAGCCTCCCTGCACCTGTCATAATCAGGTTCCTAGTACACTGGTCGCGGAGCGGTCACAATGTGTTATCAGTTATGGGCGCGAATGGCGTCAGATTATATACACCTTTGTGGTTGACGCAGTTGGCGGCGTAAGCCATTTGAACAAAAGTTAAAAGGTAGAAGGTTGAACATGTGCATCACGAGGCTACGTCACGTGTTGTGCTTTATGCTGTTGCGTTAACGCAACCTTGTTACAAAATGAGCGAGCAAGCAAGCAATGTCTGCTATGCCTAGGGCGCTCTTTGACAGAAGTCCCTGAGCTATATACTGCAGAGAGTAATCAAAATCTTAGTGCGTCTTTACGTCAGCTTCGTGCCACGTAAAACCAACATATTTGCACATATCTCCCCTTAAAATAGAGAAAATATAGAGTTCTGAAACATTCTGGTTTCACCATGATTTCATCATCCATTTCACAGGCATTCCGGTCAAGTGGCGCATTGCGGTTTTACCACGTGTTGTAAAAAGCAAAGCACATGAAAAACATATTTCTTTTCCTAAACGGAGGACCAGGGAGTCCAGTGGACGCTTTTTCCCGCGTGTGCGCCTGCCTGAAATATTATATTTTGAGCTCTTAAAAAGAATTCAAGAAAACTGTCATTACTGAGTATATCGAAAGCGTCCAAGCTAACTATGGGTGGAAGTGTTTCAAAGCACGTGGCAACATGCTATTAAGCGTTTGAAAAGTTTCCCCACTACGGTCGTCCCAAACTGTTTGCTCGAAACTTAGCGGAAGATTTGCTAAGCCATCCATACTAATCTGTGTATTTAGTTCTTAGGTATGATGAGATGGAATTGGGTTTGAAGATAACAAGGCTGTTCTTGCATGCTCGCACTGCCCTTTTCGCCGTGAAGGTCGGAAGTAGAGGACGTGAATGCCATAATGACCTGTTTCTGAATATTTGCGAGAGGAACGTCTTGCACGCTCAGATCACGCCCGGCATAACGCACGCAGCGAACGGTCTCTGAGAATCACGCGCAATGGACGATCTCACCCTCCCCCCTTTCGAAAACAGAAAGAGAAGAGGTAACCAAACTCACCGGGTAAGTAGGTTCTATAAATATCTACGTTGTATGAAAATCTCATGACCGAGACCAATGTCTTCAAGGTCAAATGAGGTTCAAATGGTAAAGCTGCAAGTTGCGTGGCTAGGCCTCCCATCCTTGTAAATATCCGCGATCGAGTACACCCGTACCGAAATGAAATGGGACTAAGCTATATTTCTGACATTGTTTACAATACAATACAGGTGTGACATTTGGCAGTTGATCTCTGGCCGTTCATAAATTAGAAGTTATTCTCTGTTATGTTAATGCGATTTCCGAAGGGAAAGTACAAAACTTTCACGAATTTTCGAATACTTATCGACTTTTGAGGACTTACACTGATCATAAACTTGCCCGCATCGGTCTCGGTCACTTAGCGTGATTTTGGCATTGTCATGCAAAAACAATGCTCAAGAAAAATATTGCCAGTAGTGTAAGGAACATTCCCTTTCTTGCGGACATCTCAGGGCCGCGCCAACGCCAATCGCCGCGCCCGGAAGCCGGGGCTATTGTTGACTGGGCTGGCTGTAATTTTTCAACTTTCCAGTAACTTGAATTTTCTTCACATGGAACGACGCGCTAAGACTTCAATTACAAGTTGACAAAAATATGAATAGATGGCCATTCATTCCGTATTACCCCTCCGGTTAATAACATTTATTTTAACCGGAGGGGTAGATTTCGACCAATCCCCCAGTTCGACGAAGACCCCTGCACAGGTCCAGGCTCCCTCGAGGTGCGGAGGAGTAGGTAGGGCGTATTTTAATCGGCGCACCGATTTATCTGATTCTCCACCATTGTATTTCATAGTCAAGCACTGACCAGGAGTATGGTCGAGTGGGTGCTCCTCTCCTGCATCGGGTCTCGGTCGACCAGAGCCGCTGTGTGACGTTCTGACGCGACCCGCGGCAGCTGACCATGCCCGGCCAACAGTAGCGGCGCTGTCCGCCGCTGCGCAGGCCCGCTGTCACCGCCCGGCGACCCTCCCACCCCACCGAGGTCAACCCCGCTCCAGGAGACACACACCTGTCACCCGGCCACTTTCAGCGTCCCCTCTTCCAGGGGTGTCCAACCCTCTGCTGTGAGGCGGAGCGACACGGTGTCTCAAGGAGCCCTTTTGTACATGTTCTCTCAGAGGAGATCGTAGTTGGTTGTGTATCGTAAGATCGCACTCAGCTTCAGGAGCGCCCGGCGCGCACCCGACGTGCGCCTGTCCACGGTGGGACCTGTTCGAAAGCTATGGCGGCTGGTCGCTGACGTGCCGCTTCGGATACGGCCGTTCGCAGCATGGCGTGCTGTGTGCGCGTGCAGCATTCCATGGCGCCCGAGACGCGACCGCAGGCACGGAGCACACCGGCGTGCGTCTCTGCGTTCCGCGCCCCACGTCCAGCCAGACGCCATTTGCGCGGAGCCGTCGCTGGTGCAACGTATCGGGTCGGGTCGGGCCGGGCCGGGCCGGCGCCACCCGGCGGCGCGGCGCGGCCGCCGCTCGACGGGCCGGCGCGTTGCTGGGCGGGCGGCGCCGGCCGGCCCCGCCGCGGCCGGCCGCGCGCGGCGCGACACAACCATCGATCGGGGCCAGCCGGGGCGGCGCGCGGCCTTGGCGCGAGCCGCGTCTCGTGCGGCCCCCGGTACCACGTGACCGGTGGTTCGCGCGCCGCCGAGTCGATAAAGCGCGCGCGCGGGCTGCGGCGCCGCCAGCCTGCGTGGCCGACTGCAGGCGCTACGCGGCGGAATGTGGCCGCGTCTGGCGCCGACAGTCGCGAGCTGGCGCTGCGCGCGAGCTGCCGCCCGCCCGGCGCCGGCCGCCAGTGGCGCGCCGCACCGCCCCACGCGCGGACAGGGCAGGCACGCCGTGCGGCCGTGGCCACGCCGAGTGATCGCGCCGCCCGTCTGACGCTGGCCTGGAGACCGCAGCCTCTGCGCCAAGCCGCCCGAACGCCGAGTGAAAATAAGCGAACTGGCCACTTCCTCCCGCTCGGAAATTGGCCGTGCCGCAGTGCCGCGAGCTGCGGGTGACGTGTGCGGTGCTCAGTCGCCGGATTGACTGCTATTGACGGCGGGTGACTGTCTGCGGTGCTTTTGCGAGCTGTGCCGGTCACCGGGCGCGTGCGGGTTCGAACTGGTGCCTGTCGGCTCCGTCGCGACGGGTCGGTGACGCGGCGCCGGTGGGTGGTGCGCCGGCCAGCGCGTCGCCGCCTGACCTCGGCCGTCTGGGCCGCGCCGCGCCGCGCGCCGGCGGCCTCCGACGCGCCCCCCTCCCCCGCCCCGCCGGCCGGCTGGCCGGCCCGTCCCCGCGCGCGGTCTGAGCGGGGCGCCAGTGGCGGCCGATGGAGGTGGTGCCGATCCTGCACGCCAGTCGGCCCGCCTACCAGGTGGCGCAGGTGCCGGCGCGGCGCCGGCGGCGTGGTCGACGGCGCCCCGTCGCCGTCGACTCGGCCGACCCGCGCGGTCGCAGTCACCTCTCGAACAAGACCGCCGAGGACCGCGTGCTCGAGTACGGCGCCGAGCTGTTCCGCAGCAGCGGCGAGCTGCTGCTCTGCCAGTTCTGCGACAAGCCGGTCGACCCACGCCGGCGCAGCTCGATCGAGTATCACCTGAAGAGCTTCTCGCACCAGCGCAAGGTGCGCTCGCTGACGGGCGAGGCGGGCAGCCCGGGCAGCGGGTCGGACAGTCCGGCGGCCGGCGACGAGCCGCAGCCGCTGCTGCTGGAGCCGGGCGCAGGTGAGAGACCACCGCCAAGGCGCGGGGGGGGGGGGGCTGAAACGTGACGCAGGCACGGCCGACACAGCACGACACGGCCGTGGGTGGGGAAGGCGGCGTGACGACAGTGGCAGTGGTCAAACCGGCTTCAATGTTCAAATTTTCACCACCCAAATTTCCAAGACTGAGACACCTGATACCATATGTCATGCGACACGTAAATAGTAAAACAATGCGTGCACCCTTCATCGGTTTTAAGATTCCACGAACCATCGCGATGGGAGAATCTGGATCCCTACACAACATGAGTACATAAATCAGCTTTGCCGCTTTTAGGATTTGAACCTGAATACAACATTGATTCATGAATCAAGTTCGGCTTTTTCCATTATTTTATTCGCTCATCATTTTTGCTTTACACGACTTCGCTTTTTCGACAGTTTGTTCTCTCATTGTTTGCTATGAAGTTGCCTGATGAAGAACGAACCTCAGTTCATGCCGGGATTGGGATGATCCACTGTTGACTGCTTTTTAACATGACGTAAGCCATCTAAGCCGCGTGATGTGATGTGCTGCACGACTCTATCCTAAATGGGTATCGCGAAAAAGTACACGCCCTCGTATTTCACTAGGAAAGACCCGACTAACATCGAGAGTCAAAAGAACGCTGTATACTAATTTGCGAGGGAGGGGTCCCGGACAGGGCCAGGACGAGAATTGCGGACAGGGCAAAGGAGAGCTCCCGGACAGGGGCGGGACGAGGGTCCCGAATAGGGCAAGGGAGAGCTCCCGGACAGGGCGAGAGCGAGGGTAACGGACGGGGCAAGGGAGAGCTCCCGGACAGGGCCAGGACGAGTGTCCCGGACAGGGCGGGGACGAGGATCCCGGACAAAAAGGGGAATGATAACAACCAAATGGAACAAGTTACACGAATACGTTCGAACGAAAGTAGTCGAAATGAATAAAGATCGACAGGGCTAAAAAAAAATGTAGGCAAAGCCGAAGGATTGGTAGTCGTCAGGGAGACAAGTCGAATAAAAAGAAAGTGTACGGACAAAGAGTCGAATTATATCAAAGTCAACAGGGAAAAAGTCGAGTCGAACAAAATCAAAAGACAAAAAGTCATAAAGATACAACTTAGGATGAAAGCCCAATCCGAACATGGCGAGAGGAACAAACGTCGACACTGGTAGAAAATCACCAATCGTTTCCAGTAACAAAGAGGTGTCAAGGATGAAAATGGAGTCGGAAAAAGTTGAAAGGGATAGAAGTCGACAGGAGTGACAGTCGGATTGCAAACCAATTTAAGAGACAGAAATGGACACGGGTAACCGTTGGCTGGAATAAAGTAACAAGCAGGTAGCCAAACCCAGGCGAGAGCGGTCTTGCCTCAGTATTGTGCGGCATGTAAACACTCCGCATTTTCTGGTGATAGGGCGGAGGAAAAGTTATTCCATGAATTGGACAGCACAACCTGGTGGTGGGCTCATGGTATTTGCAGCAAGCCATGATTAGCAGGTACCCTGGAACGAGGCCATCCGTGCCAACCATTCGGAAAAAAAATGTCAAAGAGGGGACGTAAGGCTAGGAGAGTCAATGCTTTGACGCCTGGCAGGAAAGGGGGTGCTGCTAACTGTACTCGGATGTACCCGTGGATTCAATGGGTTTCCCTGCCTCGCATACGTGGATCATGTGATTTGGACCCACCCTCGCTCATGCGGTGAACGATTCTGGCAGCAAGCCAGCATCCGAGCCTTCATGACCTAACCACGCGAACTGCGCGCTAAGGGTATCAGATGACCGATGTACGAAAGTGCCCTGATAATCCTTATCAATGTCCATGAAAATTCCTTTTCTTATTTTCTGGGACGTGGGCGCACAGCGGCGGCGTCCGTCGCAAATTCTTTTTTTTTCCTTAATCCTGGTGCTGAACAGACACGTGCCTGGTTCGCAGTGTAAATCCTGGTTTCACTTCCAGTTCCGGAAACGAGATTTTGATCCTCTGCTCCAGTTTGCTACTTCCTAGGCCTAACTTCCCTGCTCCTGTATCCTGTCGGTTGTTTTGCAAAGAGCACCCTGATTCCTGGTTTTCACTGGTTCCTCAAAAGTATGGGTTCCTGGCTCCCTCCGGTTTCTTCATAAGCCATACAACCCAGGTAGTGGTTCCTACTGGCTTTCCACAAACATCAGACCCTGGTCCCCTGCTTCCCGCCATTTCTTACACAAACATCAGACCCTGGTCCCCTGCTTCCCGCCATTTCTTACACAAACATCAGACCCTGACTCATGGTACTCACTGCTGTTTTGGTTCTGATTGGGGGCATTCCACGACAAATCGACGGGTCGAAGGGTCAGTTTTACACCGCCATCCCTCGGATTGTGATAAAACTGGATCTGTGGGCTTCAGGGGCGCTGAAGACGCCTGCAGTATTTTTAGATCTCTCAGTTGAGCGTCTTTGGAGTTACAGTCTCCGGCATTTTGTGTTGTTAGGTCGAAGGGCTACCTTCGGCGGTGATTTTTTTTCACTGAATGAAAGAAAATTACATCAACCTACATGCCAAAAATATTCTAAAAACCTTCCAGACTACGTGTGTGTCGTGGCTGGAATCATCGCAAATGAAATATTCGTGGTGGCATTATGAGTATTTGAAATGAATGCAGAACCACTTTCCTACGCGATTTTGAGCTTTTCTCATTTGCATGTAAAGCGTAGTATTCAGGAAGCGTTGTAAGCGTCAAAAAGCGTAGTATTTGCCCCATAGTCCAAAAATAAAAAAGTTGGTTATCGGCTTGGGCGACATGGAAACAAAGTCACGGTAAAAGACTACGCCTCATTCGCTCCACCCGCCGTCGGCCGCGGGCGCATTGACCTCCCGCGCCTCTCTCCACACAGCCGGCGGAAAATGGGCGCATTTTGAGAAAACACTAAGCTTAATAACACGATGGTTCGTATACACGTGGAAGTCGACTCAGTGACTCGGTCTAAGTCACTCTGCGCCTACGTCACTCAGTCCAAGTCATAGTGCGCCAGTGGCTCAGCCTAGGTCACTCTTACTCACCAAAAGTCTTCAAATCAAGCAACCGCTACTTCCCTCCCAACGCCTAAATCTAACACGCGGACAGTGACAGTCTGAGCACTCATTGGGGTCACTCTGTGAACATCCAGTGTCCCTTTGACAGTCATGGCCGTGGCCCAGCTGATGTTAAGCTAATCTTCTGCCCGAAGTACTTCTGCTTTTGGTACGAAGAAGCATGCCGTCCGCACATTAGCCTTGCCCTGCAAGAACTGGTACAGCTTCTCAGCAGAGCGGATATGATGGAAATGGAGGCGCCTCTGGCTGGCACTGGCAGCAACCCTTCTTCAGGTCCCCCAACTCCGTCGCAAGAGTTCTTCCCATGGGACATGGCAACGTAATGCCAATCATACTTCACGATAGTCCTCCTCCCAGGGGCCTTTGGGCGCCGGTAGTGTAGTGGTTAACGCGTCTGCGTTAACCACTGCGCGTCTGGGAGACCAGAGGTACGGGGTTCGATTCCTCAAGGTGCCCGCCCCTCTTCCCAGGGTGAGAGGCGGGCGACGCCACATGGCCTCAGCACCTGGGTGCGTTGTAAAGCCCCAAAATAACAACAACAGGAACAGTTTTCCTCAAGAAAACAAATGTGCAAGTAATTAAACCTGTAGTGCGCGGCTGGTGCGTCTTGGAAGTAATACACTTTTCCATATTTGAAACGACGCTTTTCGCCTCCGGTAAAAGGTACTGGAGAGATGTATGGACCGCAAAGTGCTATGTGTCATCGCTTTTGACAGCGGGCAATAGCTTTTATGTGTGAGCCGTCCAGATTCTGGCCAATATACCACGAAAGGATGCAGCGTCCATTGCATGGCATCCCAACGAAACTGCTGAACTTCGTCTGGTACGACCAAAGTGTAGCTTTCTGAAAAGTCTAGAATCATTAAAGCTTCGTTTTCGGACAGTCGTGTAAAATTCGTCACAATTTGGGGGTCAATTTGACCCTCCTGAGATCTCAGGAAATAAGAGTTTTAGACGCCAAATTCATTGGGCGTGATGGCCTGTACGTGAACTCACTGGTTGCAAAGCTTAAGATTCCTAGGTAATGACATTTAGGTCAGATAAGGTCAAATAAAGTCAAGCTCCGGGTTGGTGTCCAAAGTGGCCCCAAGTAAACCTAGATACCTGTTGTAATCAAAAGGTTGCATGCTCATTTAAACTCAATGACCTTTTTTGACCTTTCGAAGGTAATGGTGACCAAATCATCAGGTGTTGACCCGGGCTACTTTAGTCAGTGACCTATTTTGACCTTTAAAAAAATAATGGAAGATCATGCGGTTCCTGTTATCAACAAATTTGAAGTAAGCACCAGAAACCACTTCATGCAGCCAAGCCTCATAGTAATAAGACAGGTTGGTTTTGGCCTTGGTCTGACCTTCATATCCGATCTTTGGTCAATAAAATTTGTTCATTCAGTTGTTGTGCTGCCTGAGAAAGCATCTCAGAGATGTATGGTTTCTTCTAGCACTCCATTGTTGCATCAGATTGAACGATGCCTTAGAAATTGACATCGCTGAATCCATGGGCCAACCTGGACTTGCCGTCAGTCAGCGACCTTACAAGGTGCATCTGACTGTTTTATTTCAGACGATCCTCCGTCCAATTGTCTACAGCTATGTACAGTTTGGCGCGGCCACGCTGCGTGGTTTGGAAACCGTTCCGGAAACATGCTTGGGGGGATCGAATCACCCGGACACCTGAGCGCGTGTTTATCGCGACGATCGCACGCCATCGCAAGCGCGGACAATTCTCACACTCCAGCATCATGCAGGATGATGTTCATAAGGACGCATCATACATTCTTATGAACGTCCCACGCGGCGTTACTCGGTAGGCCCTTTTAAGTGAC